AAAAAAAAAAAAAAAAAAATTCAGAAGAATTATTTCTTGCCTTTAGAAACTTATAGAAATAACATAAATATTACTTCAAAAACTATCAAAATCGATGTATTTAAATCGAGTCAGTTTGACCAAACTTGGGACTTCGTATAAAAAAGTCCCGAGCATCTAAAGGCATTTAGTAAAACGATTGTAAATGCAACGCAGAAAATCTTTCAGAACTAACAACCGCATGCCATAGATACGCTGCGCTGTGCCTATGAAACCCAGAGTGCCTGAAATTTTTTGTGTATGTAATACGGACATCCAAAGAGTACGAATAGTTGTATCCAAACCTGACCATTGAAAAGGCCGGAGCGCCTTCAATTTTTTGTGTATGCAACACGGACATCCCAAGAGCACGAATAGTTGTATCCCGACCTAGCCATTGAAAAGGCCGGAGCGCCTTCAATTTTTCCCTATTGTGCTAACAAAATGTGTCTTTTACTGCATTCATACGTCGTCGTTTCTCGGAGATAGGGAGTTTTGAGAATTAATCAGAGGGGGGAAAAAAGGTATGAGTAAATGAATCAGAGTTTATATGCATCTAGAAACCGTTGCATTTACGGTTGGTGGTACCCCGCCAACTGCTACGATATTTTTGTTGATCTGGGGTTTAGTGTGTTTAACATTTTCCTATTTTTTCCTGTAAATTAAAGCACTCGCACATGAGGAGTTCATTCGGCCGCGACGAGTCGAGTTGAAGTTCAGCGATAGCAGTAATTGCTTGTTCGACGTCGCCTCGCTGGACACATCCGCGATACCGATGACACATTGCCCATTCGGGTTGACAAGAGAAATGCATAAATTACCTTTCTTCCGATTCACTTGCCGTATTTTTCTATTGTCCATCCTATGGTTGAAGAAGACTATTTTTTTTTATTGAAAATTTTAATAATCAAAGAAAAAAATACTTCAAAAAATGAATAAAGGTTTTCCAAAATTTTATGAGGACTTTTTCTTTCAACTTTTTCCCCATACCGAAAAGAAGAATCCTGATTTAACATTGTGGATGTAAGGGAGTGTGCGACAACTCACAAAACGCTGAACTGACCGCCACAGCAGTTAGTTTTACATCTTGACATTGCTAAATAACTGCTGTAGTGGTTATTCAGCATTTTGTGAGTTGTCGCACATACTCATTTACACCCAGAATGTTAACTCAGAATCCTTGTTTTTTTTCGATGCAGGAGCCTTCCTCAACATTTTTTTTATTTCGTTTCACTTACCTACCGTAATTTGTGTACTGTCTAACCCATAGTAATCTTATGTAGCAGAATTTCAAGATTGATAGTGATAAGCTATTTATGGTTAATTTATTGTTTCTTGATTGCTATCAAACTTCTACTAAAAGACAATATTAAAATTCGTGTGAAATACAAACTTGCTATGAATATAGTCATGTTCGATTTTTGAATACAAAATAGCTGTTTAATTGCAATTTTTCGCAATGAGATCGCCATTTTTGACTATTTTCATCACCCGATTTTTGAATTTTTAATAGCTTCTTAGCTGTCATTTGTCACTATCGATTTCCTATTTTTGAAAACTCTGCTACATGAGAAAGGAAGACTCTTTTTTTTCGCGCACAGTCTCTCTAAAAATTCTCTTGTTTGACAATAAAATTTCATGAAATTTCGTGGAATTTTTGAAAATCTCTGCAACAGACTCAGTATGCCATACCATGAACAGCATAGATAGGAACAGTAAAATCTTAATTGAATCTGTTGTTTTTAAAAAGGAACTGGTCCATTTTGTAATGAGTCTTCATGGCACTTGTTCCCTTGTGAAAAAAAAAACTGATTCAATCAAGAAATTTTGAAAAAAAACGACCATTTGTCAAATTTTAAAGTTTCTAATCGAATTTTTAGATAAGTGTTGCAGTTTGCACACACAGCCCCTGAAAAACGTTGAAATTTCTGAATAATGAAATTTCACTTTCCAGCAAAGTGAACTTTTATCGAATGAGTTTTATGAAATGAAATTTAATCCCGCATCTGTGGGTCAAACCAAGTGTAACTTGAATGCTTACTGTGTCTAGTGGTGCATTTTGTGTAACAAAAGCAGTGCAGGTATTACACAAGTGCATTGGTCCAGAGGATGCAAAACGACACGCGAAATGAATCCGGGTCGTCTTCTTTGCCCGCTAATTACCTTTCACATGACCATTGCACCATCCCGCAAATTGAGCCTACTCCATTTCGTTCCGCTTCACTTCAGAGTATCTTTCACTCTTATGAACTTTTGCTATAAAATTCACGGCGATCCTTCGTCCTGTCATCAGTCAGCTCCGTGCTTCAAAACCGACTTCATCAAATCTCATCCACCAAAATGGTTTTCAAGGTAAGCTCATAGTTAGTAGAACCCGAAAAAGCGCTTGTGAAGTAAGATACAGGAACGATATACAGTAGGAAACGATATATCCGCGATGATTAGTACTAGAGTCTCTGCCGTGCTGAGGAGAAACGTCGTATGAGCCTTTAGACGTAGCCACATTTACTTCAATAAAAACTGGAATTACGAGAAAAAACTCAAAACAGCGTTTGTGAAGGAAGATAGAAAAACGGTACAGTAGGGTCTTGAATATCCGCGATGGTTAGGATTATAGCTGTTCTCTGCCGTGTTAAGGAAAAACGCCGTATGAGCCGTAGAACTTCGCCAAATTTTCTTCAATGAAAACCGGATTCGCTTGAAAAATTTTGAATATTTTCCTTCAAAAATTTACGACAATTTTGTTCGCAATTCGATCTGAAATATCTGAAAATTTCAAGGGAAAGTGGAAATATCATTCCCTCAAAAATAAGTTTTATTCGAGGAAATTTGGCAGCTCCCGAATGGTCATACGGTGTTTTTCCTTAGCACCAATTGAACTTAGCGTATAATCCGGAATGAAGCTCTTTGGCCAGGAAAAGGGATAAGTGCTGTATTTTAAGAAACATCGCTAAAACTTTTGTCAAATATTAGACAGAAATGTAATTGTAACAGACGGAAAAATATTGCCCAAAAAAAGTGATTTTGGCAAACATCATTTCTGGAAAAACTTTTTAACGAGAATTTGTGACATGAAATGCACTTTTTTGGGCCATCGAAAAGTAATCGCGGATAATCGATACTCACTGTGATCGAGTTTTTAGTCTCCTTTGCGTTTTTTATTTTAACCCAATTCAACCGCTGGCTTTTGAGTTACTGTTGCTTTTATATTCTCAAGCATTAATATTTTGAATAATTAGAGACCCTAAACTTGGAAATGAAATATTAAAAGACGTAGGTATTATGTTGGATAATCGGTAATATATTTGATTCTGTATTTGTTTTATATCACCTTGTTATCCCGAAAAAATGATGAACGGTATTAAGTGGAACAATTCGCTGCGCAAAAAAGTCCAAGTTTGACGGTGATTAATATCTGTAGAGAAAAGTGTCAACCACAAGTGAAATGCTCAATTCGTCACCTTCCGGCCAAAGTATCACAAGCTTCATGCGACGTTTAAAAATTTCCACCGCCATTTTATTTTTTACAGAGAAATTTTTGGTTTAATCTGTTTAAAAATTTCACTGATTTTTATGGGCAGCCCAAAGACAATTCAGTGAAATTTTCAAACAGATCCAACCAACCATTTCTCTGTTAAAAGGTAAAATATCGGCAGAAATTTTTGAACGTCGCATGGCGCTTGTGATACTTTGAACGGTAGGTGACGAATTCCCGAAACTTAATCTGGATAAAACCATAGGTAAAATGCAAATTTTCACTCAACGTTTTTTCTTAAGTATTAAGCTGTTTAATACAAAAAAAAAAAACAAAAAAAAATTCCACTTAGAATAAGAAAATAACCCCGATTCCTTTCGTTACAGCTCTACATATTGGCCGCCCTAGCGACCGTGGCCAGCTGCGGCCTCGTCACTTCCTCATCCTCCGTAAAAACGGCCCCATCCCCCAGCCACGCACCAGCCCCTTACAGCCACGCCTCGGAGTCCTACGGAAGTTACGGCCACGAGTCGTACCCCGACGTCCACCCAACCTACAAATTCTCGTACAGCGTCCACGACCCGAAGACCCACGACGTCAAGGAACAGGAAGAATACCGCGACGGACACCACGTCAAGGGATTCTACTCCCTCTACGAGGCCGATGGCAGCAAGCGAGTGGTCCACTATATCGACAACGGACACGGTTTCGAGGCCACAGTCCACAAGGAGGGTGGCAAACACCCCGTTTCCGCCCCTGTCTACCACTCGCCGTCGCCCGCCCCCGCCTACCACCCCGCTCCCGTTTATGAAAAGTACGAATGAGACTTTCTAGTCAACAAATGTGATCAAATTGCCATAATGTTATTAAATTTTGAATAAATCTAATTGTATGTTCTATTAATTATTCAAATGAGTTGATTTGTTGAGTGTGTAAGCACTGATAAGGGGCCGTTCTGAAAATACTTAACGCTAAATTTCGGATTTTTCGACACCTCCATCCCTCCCTCCTGACGTAGGTCCATTCTTTAACCAGCACTGGAAAAAAACACATTGGATCTAGAGTCCAGACTCTTAAAAACACCGACGAGAAAAAATACTCTTGATTCAATCGGATTTTTGCTTAAATCAAGAACCAAGCCTCTCAATTTGAGCGGATTTCTTTTTGATCGAAGCAAAAATCTGATTGAATCAAGAATATTTTTTCTTGTCAATGTTTTCAAGAGTCTAGACTCTAGATCCAATGTGTTTTTTTCCAGTGCATTAATAAGGAGCCGTTCTGAAAATACTTAAAGCTAAATTTCGGATTTTTCGACACCTCCATCCCTCCCTCCTGACGTAGGTCCATTCTATAACCAGGGTTTCAATTTTTCATGAAGAAGAAACTCTTGAAATTTCCGGTGAAACATTTCATGAAATTTTAAGAATTTATAAAAGACATTGAAATATATAGGTTCCTTTTCATGTTTCGCAAAACTTAAAAATTGTGACTTTCTTCAATTTTTGTGTTTGAGTGCGGGTCGCATACTCTACAGCCCCTGTAAAATAGAAAATAGTTCATAGCCTCGTGAAATTTCATGAAATATTTCACGGAAATTTTCAATCTTTTATAATTTTCATTTTACGCGTGCAACCTTGTCTTCAATACGTTAAATCAAAATAGGGTGAGGCTCCTCTCAACCCCTCCCTCCTTTACCGCACCAGAGCGTCACGTATTTTATGAACGGCTTCGAAGGTCGCGCATAATTTAACCTGCTTCAAACTGCAACTAGGATTGCGGGCAAATATAAGTAACGCATAACGCATAACCTAGCCTAACTCGAGGCGCGAAGCGCCTCGAAGTATGGGACCGCGAGGTGGTCTGACGACGTTGCTCTTAGAAAGAACATAAAGAAGTAAAAAATCCGCAAAATATAGGTAAGTATAGGGGGAACGAACACTTAAACCACGAAGAGGAAAACGGAGACTGATAATAGAGAATGATTGCCGAACCGAGACGATAAAGACAACAAACTACTCCATATAGCCTAAAGGCGAGGTGTATAAAACCATGTACTGAAAGAATATGGAATTGTAATTCGCATGCCGGTATATCAATGGAAGGTACGGTTGGCACATTACCATGCATTTTAATATCGAGTTTATTCAAATAGATCATTACTAATTTTACAGGGGTTTTCCTAGCTCAGTTTAGAAAGTACCTATGTGCTATTAGCTTTCCTGTGTAGATAGGGGTTCCTATAGATGAGCCAGAAGTAATCGTAGTTCTTAATTGGATTACATTTTGCAAATAGGAACTATAATTAATTTCTGGCTCATCCATAGATACACTTATGTGGTTACGGAAAGTGATGGTGCATAAGTTGTTTCTTAACTAAGTCAGATATTGTAGATCCAAACCGCAAAATGTAGTCCAAATGGACGGTTTTAACCCTTTGTTGCACGGAAATTTTTTTTTCATTTTTTTTAAAAAAAATGTTATGGTTAAATTTTAATGATAAAGATAAGCACAAAAAACGCTTCAAAAATTTTTTTCATCCCTTCTCTAAAATACTGTAGGGGTAGGAAAAGTGGTAGAACTGTCATACCACCGCACACTCACCTTCCAGGTTTGTCATTGTGCGGTGGTATAATTGTGATACCACTTTGCTGACCACATTGGATTTTAATATATAGAGTACATTTGTATGTATGTGTGATTTCAACTTTCTAATTTTAGTGATATCGATTATCACATATATCATTTTTGGGTCAAGTATGGGGGGGGGGGGGTTTCCAGCGAGTGGAGAACGGCAGTCAAGATGAAAATAAATAAATAAAAAAAAAGTCAAAATTTAAATTTCAAACACAAGCAAAATTTTTTTTAAATGAATATGAAAAAGGTCAAAATTCAAAAACTTCGTGACTACACAGAATTAGGGTGGAAGGAATGGGGGAAAAGAAGAAAAAGAAAGGGGGTGTATATTTGAAGTTCTAGGGGAAAACTATTTTTTTTTGGGAGGGGGGGGGAGGAAAAAACTAAAGAATATTTGTGGTCAATGAAGAGTGGCATGTGCGGTATCATTTTCTGGGTCATATTGGTAGTAGATTTAATGTATGAAGTCAAAACAGCCCCCCCCCCTCCACAGTCAAAGATACTGCCCCGAATTCAAGATGTCTGACTTTGAAAGGCAGGAGGGGGCATTTTATAAATTTTTACGTGATTAGGCAAGTGAGATATCAATTCTTATAAAATTTTGGTCCAAAATTTCATATAAGAATTCAAAATTTCATATAAGAAGTCATAATAGCCCCCCGGTCAACGAAAAAGCCCCAAATCAAAGATGGCGACTAAATTTGAAAGGCAGGATGGTGCATTTTTTTAAAAATTTTACGTTATTGGGCAAGTGAGGTATCAATTCTGATGTAAATTTGGTCGTCGATTTCATATGTGAAGTCATAAAAGCCCTCCAGTCAACGACAGTGCCCCAAATCCAAGATGGCGGCCGAATTTGAAAGACAGCAAGGTGTATTTTTTAAATTTTTACTTGATCAGACACCTGAAATATCAATTCTGATGTACCTATTTTCGTAAATTTTATATGTAAAATCATAAAGGCCTCCTGCTCAAAGGGGGTGCCCTAAATCCAAGATGGCGGCCAAATTTAAAAGGCAGGAGGGTGCATTTTTTGAAATTATAAGTGATTAGGCAAGTTAGGTACAATTCCAATGTCACTTTGGTCACCCACATCATATATAAAGTCATAACACCCCCCCCCCCCCCCCCCCGGTCAAAGAGGGTGTCCCAAAAGCCAAGATGGCGGTCAAATTTGAAAGGCAGGAGGGTGTATTTTTTAAATTCTTACGTGATCAGGCATCTGATATCAATATCAGATATCAATTCTGATAAAATTATTGTTGTGAATTTCATATATGAAGTCATAAAGGCCTCCTTTTCAAAGAGGGTACCCTAAATCCAAGATGGCTGCCAATTTTGAAAGGTAGGAGGGAGCATTTTTTGGATTTTATGTGATTAGACAAGTTAGATTTCAATTCTTGTATCACTTTAGTCGCACATTTCAAGCATGCAGTCATAAAAAAAACCCCGGCCAAAGAGGGTGCCCCAAATCCAAGATGGCGACTGAATTTGAGAGGTAGTAGCCCCTTCACCCAAGAAATACGCTTAGAACAAGGAAATGTCGGTTCTCGAGTGACATTGGGATCAAAACTTGAAACGGGGAGAAAAATTTCCTCGAGAATGCACAGAAAATTGATTTTTCTACAAAATGCTGTGTGTGCGGTGGTATAACTGTCATACCACTTTATTTCAGCTCAGAAAATCGACCAAAATGAAAAATCAAGTAAAAACTGCAATGCACCTAGTAAATTACGGCTAGTTAGATTAGAGAATCACATTTATCTAAAAAATAACACCTATTTTTCACACACGACTCGAAGAAAAACAATGCGGATCCGACATAACCTAAAATACCGGGTTTTCATGACATACAATACGCTGTAGCCATGTCACTTTGTAAAAATGAATGGTCATACCATTTAGCAATGATAACTAGAGGTATATTGGACCCAATGATTCAGTAGTTGAGCCCGCTCATCACATTGGCAGCGCTGTAAAAATTAAAAACCGAAGTGGTATGACATGTATACCACCGTGCAACAAAGGGTTAAGCGGAATTAGCCTCTCCACACTCCAAGAAACATTTCCTATGGAATAGTCCGCATTGGAGTACCTTTATAGAGAGAATACACATCGATGGCTAAAGTGTGACACAACGTATCTCCATCGTGTTGTCTCAACACCAATATTGTCTGTTTCTAAATTGAATAATTATTTGAAGAGTTATGAAAAGATAATCCAAACCGCTAAAATGCACGTGTTTAAACGGCAGATGTCGCGCCATAAGCGGCACAAATGACACATTTTCTCGCTTTTAAGTATATATGTTTCTCCATTTTCCAAATCAGAAAAATATTGTAAAAAAAATTGCAAAGTCACCTTGTAACGCTCTCGTGTGAAGCAAACAAACTCGTGCGAATTCTTCATTAAGAAAAAAATTTCACTGACAGTAGCACTGCCGTACATATGAAAAACATTATATGGAGTATTTGAATGCTGCCAAATTACTCTCGATAAAATATTTACTTATAGAGGACAATTATGAATATTTTTCCTCAAAAATCTCAGATACTTTAAATTAAATTGCGAATAAAATTCTCTGAAAATTTTGAGGAAAAATATTTGTTATGTTCCCGGAAATTTAAGTTTCTATCGAAGGAACTTTGGCAGCTGCCGGAGACCCATATGGTGTTCTTCCCTGGCAAGGCGGAGTACAGACGTACTATACCGATACAATTGTGATTCGCGGTTGTTAGCTGTTGATTTTACCAAGCTTGCTTATTTCTGTGTATCCAGATGGAAGATCCTGACTTTGTGTGTTGTGTCTTAGACGGTTTTGCGCATTCCAGTCGAGATTCACGCAACGCAGCTGGAGGTGGGGCGACACCGCGACACTTACCTGTCCGATGTAAACGACATGATCGTGACCTCTAAAAAAAAAAAAAAACTGTTCACATCATCGAAAAAAAACGTGCTCTAACATTTATTCACGTGGATCGCGATCCTCTTACTACTCATATGATCGAGCCCTCGCTCATGGATTTTCGGATTTCAGCAAGTGAAAATCAGGAGGACCTCAAAAATCATTCAGATAAAAATGGGTAAGTCGGTTAGCGATCAGTTCATTTGAGGCCGTTAGCCCCAAACCCGGCAAACTCATTGCCCTGTCTAAAAATTGTGCGATCATATTAATTTTCTGTGAGGAACAATAAAATCGTTCAGCTGTTTTTAAAATTGGCCAAATTTTCTCGCTTAATAACAGGAAATTCACGGGAAAACGTAAGCTTGTACGTTTTCCCGTTCTTTCACTTTTAAAATTATAATGATCGCATAATTTTTAGACAGGGCAATGGAGATTGCCAAATTTGGAACTAGGGGTCTTATTTTAAGTAGAACTGATCGAAGGGAACATGTTCTAAAGAGATCTCACATTGCTGTCTCCAGAAATATTAAAACCATGAAGAGCCATTTTGGAAGTCAACGCGCAGATTTGCCTACGTTTAAGATAATAAATAGCAATCTCATGGTAAAATTATTGCTTTTGTATCGGAGTTTTGTGTATGTTGCGTATTCATTAATTGAATCGGTGAGTTCGAAAACACACCTACTCGGGAAAAAAAATTGTTCAGGGAACACCTAAAACTGGGCAGCGGGCGAAGAAGTTAGTAGTTTAAGAAAAACCTTTTTGGTGCCAAAGGACAAGTACTTGGAGATATTGTAAAGCACCAAGTTGAAATCGATACACCATGCTTGATGACAGAGAATTAAGCGTTTGAACATTTCCGAGTTGGTGTGTTTTCGTTCTCACTGACTTTCAGATACTGATTTTTCATAGTCTGCCCTGAAAAAGGTATATTTTTCGACTTGAATAACGCTTGAATATTTATATAAAACTTGTTGGTACAAGGTATACTGAACCGAAAAAAGAAAACAGCAAAATCGGATGGTCACCCGTTTCCCTTGAAACGGCCAAAAATTGGTATTTCCAATGAAATACTTCGATTTTTCCCTTTTCCCGTCGCTGTTTCCAGCACTTCCGATTGCAATTTTGAAATTTCCTTTTGCGTGCAGATAGATCTATCCATAATAGTTACGAAACCGTAAAAAAGTGAAAATCGAAAAAAACCCGAGTTGGTGTGTTTTCGATAACTCATTGATTCAATTGAAGGGGCTTTTTTGATCGACATTCATCGCAATTAAATTGAAATAAGTTGCAATTGTTTTACATTGCAAGTTATTTACTTTTATTTTACAAGGGTAGATCATCTTCTTTATCTTATAAGAACAATGACGTAAACATATTGCAATTTCACGTCAAAAAAATTGAAATTTTACCTCATCAATAAATTGCAAAAGGATTTCAATATTTTCGTTGCATTTTGTTGCTATTTGGGCAATGATGACTCATAACAAAAGGGCCGAGTATTTTTTTACTCACCTTGTACACTGCTCTTCTCGAGGTTCATCAGTCATCATTCAGCAAAGTACATGCTAAATATAAGTTGATCGTTGACTATTATTGAGCAAAAAATGTATTAACCCATATATGCCCATTGGGTCGTTAACGACTCATCGCAGTTTTTGATTTTCAGTAAAGTATAAATAGGGGAATTTCATGTGTTCAACACAGGATAATCTGTGGAATGTCTGGGATATAGGCAAGCCTATTTTATTTTTGTTTTGCCTCAAAACGTGTTTACCCTGTCCACATAACGTCAAAAATAAAATCGACGCCAAACGTGGTTTTTTTTCCGCCACGACATCATCTCTGGCATGTAAATATTTCTCATTTTATCACAATATACGCTTGGACTCCTTTATTCAGAATGTTCGCAATGTGTTACAATAATATTTTCCGACTATATTGCCATAGGGTACTTTTTTGAGAGTCGTTTGAAATTGAGTGGGCCTTTAACGACCCATTGGGCAGGTTCACAACCTTTGGATGACACTTGTGGAACACAATACTCTTGGGCAAGCGTACAACATGGGCCCTTCAAGCCCCATTATTCGATGCCGTGATTATTCTAACGCGAGTTTGAATGATCGCACCTGCAAAAACAGTGCGACCGACGTTAAACACACAATAGCGCCTGCAAGACCGGAGGAATACTTCACGCATTGCGCCGAACAGTGCGGTCGGCGCGGAACCTACATTAGCGCCTACAAGACTGCATGAATACTTCTCGCATTGCGCAAAACGCTGAGCAGTCGATCAGTTAGCGTGGAACGCATATTAGCGCCCACAAGGTTGTGGACGTAAAGTATTACTTAAGAGAATTCACGGATACGTGAAGTATGCGTGAATACTTCACGCATCGAGCGCACAGCACTGTGCGGGGTGCGCCCTTTCTATTCGTACAATTTTAAACTGATTATAGATCGTTACCTCCCGGCCAAATTATCATAAGCGCCATGCGACGATTAAAAATTTCCATCGCCATTTTATGTTTTTTACAGAGAAATTGTTCAAGGAAGCTGTCCGAAAATTTCACTGAATTACTCACAGAATGTGCACCAAGACTAGTTTTGCTTGAAATCATCAATACATCATTTTTTTTTAAAAACTGCGCTTATGTGCCGTGTCCTCCAAGCCTCTCATTTGTATAAGTGCATAAACGGTAAAATTCAAAGATGTGAATCCTCCACCTGTGAGCACTAAAAAATTTCCATCCTAAATATCGAATATTTATTACGGTGTGTAGCCGGTGTAGCCCCAGCATTCATCTGAGTTCATTAACCCACTTTAATTTTCCCGGTGCGGAAATATCGATCCGGTGCCAAACAATTAAGAGAGCAAGTGGGTGTGAGGTCGTCGTAATCAATGCCTCATGAATTGAATAAATTTAAACAGTAGTTAAAGACAAGCTACTGAGTGATTACCGCAAAACCAAAAGTACATTAACTAAAATGTTGCCGTTTCTTCTGAATATTATCCGCCATTTAGGGGTTTCCCTCTTACTGGGCTGTGGATTTATTGAAAAATTAAAAAAATCTCTCAACTACGCGGGCATTCTCACTTCATTAAAAGTCAGAATTTAACGCAATCGTGCAAAAACAGCCGATCCACTCACAGGAAGTTCATTGCCGATAGGCTTCTTTTAAGCTAATGTATCCTCAATTGATGCATGTAAGTACCGCCGCATAAGTTGCCGATACAATATTTGAATAGCTGTTTTTAAAAGGAACAAGCTCATTTTTGCATGAGCCCTTAACTGTATAAAAATACATGTAAACTAGGCCTCATCTAAAAATTGAGTTGTTTCTTACTCAAAAGAACTGATTTATTTGACATGAGGCGTCATTTAAGTGAGATAAATGTCCCTGTTTCTTACCGCAGACAACTTTTCGACGACTTATTTCAGTTTGACACTAGTTATGTTCCATACCACTTTGTGCTCGTGTTCTTCTTTAACGTTATCAAATTAAAAAACGCATAGGTAACAGAATTTGCAAGCTACAAGTTAAATACCGTAGCAATGCTTTACTAATCGTCGCTGAATATTCATAATATTTTTTCTTTCCATCCGAGTTTTCACAAGTGGTAAACATCGTATCAAGCACTACCTGCTGTTGGAAAGTTCATTCACATTCGTTAATTTCTTAAATAAATAAAATAAGAGTTCCAACCTTAGTCTTCGATTTGAATTCGTTCAAGTTTTTGTTTCTTTTAAATTTGAAATTTTGAACTCGGTGTTTTAAAGTGCCGCATGACTACGCTGTCAAAAATCCTATTTTCTAAAATTCTTAACAATATTTCAATTTTTTCTGTGATTTGGCTCAACTTAAGCATCTCAGTGCCTAGATCTTTGTTCATGCATTATCGTTTTTATATTTTTATTTTTACAGTCAACTATGATTAAGTCTTAAAGGCGAGACATCCAATATTTTGAGAGTAATCTGATTCATCCTACAATTTTTCCTGTGATTAAGCTCAAATCGTGTGAGACTCGAGTGGCTATAATTTTCTCGTTTGGTATCACTGTTTTGTGGATTTAAAATTCGACCATCTACTGCAGAGCCGTAGCAGATTCTCCGAAAGTGACCAAATACTGTGAGTTGCAGAATTCTTCAAACTTTTCCTCATAATGAAAATGGAAAGTCCGTGAGTGTGTGCTAGATGTCATCACGAATGCGGGAATGCCTCACTTTGATTGCCTTTTATCAGCAATGTTTGCGCGTGATCAAGGATTTTACAAAATTCAGTGTCACCCGGCTCACGTGAGGGGGGAGCAGGAATATTGGAAAAACTCATTCTCAAGTGTCATTAATGATGAACGTGCATAGCGAAATTTCAGCAGGGAGTTTTTAAACATAAAGATAAACATTCTATACTTATAAAAGCCGTTTCTTGCGCTGGCGGGAGCTCACTCCATAAAATATTATCTGTGAAAAATGTTACTGTCCAGCCGTTTACTTGGATTTGTGTTCTGTGCTTTGGTCATAAAATGCTGTAGCGGAAATAAAGCCAAACCGAAGCGTGGCTCGTCTTGCAAGACTTGTAACCTTTGTCCACCCAGGTGAGTACCTCAGTGGCTATTTTGGAGGTCTCCTCCTGTATCAAATATATTGTTATCAGTTGAAGAAACTCAGTAATATTTGGATTGCATTTTGCAAAAAGGAACCAAGAGCATTCCAATGTTGCTAGGGTTGTACAACTGGCATCCTTTGCAATCAAATTACTGAAATGGTGCAAAAAATTAAAGAGCCATGCACAAAAAGGGCCAAAAACGGCCCATTTTTGGGCCCTCGAAATTGGGGTCGAAGTGAGGTTTTTTTTCATCCTTAGGGTGACCCTTTACACATACTAAAATTTCAGATTGAGTATACGCACCGTTTTCGAGTTATGGGGGGGCAAAGTCCCCGATTTTCACCCATTTTTGCAGGTGTTTTAATGTCGAACTCCGGCTGTCACGAGGTACCAGATCTAGATATCGAAGCGCGGTTTGCGGTGATTTGTTCAGCTATTCCTGTAGTATTTTTCCACATCTTTCACGATACCCCAATTGGTTTTTTGGGGGGCGGGGAGGGGGGCTTTATTCATACTATCATGACCGTTAGCGCATCTTACTGACTTTACTTTGTTCTCTTCTCTCCACGCCGCGGTCACGATGGTATTTTCTGTTGGGGATTTTTCTTCTTCTTTACATTTTACTAATTTTAATGTCCTCCCCCTCCTTTCCCCTTTTTAACCCCTCCCCCGCAATCCAAACACTTCCTCTCAAGTGCTTCTTCCTGTAAGGCAGATATGACGGGGTCATATGTGGAGGATTATTTTTCTTTCTTTACGATTGATAAACTTTGACCCAACTTACTTCTCCCTCACAGGGCCCCCCTTACCCCCGTATTATCCCCCCCCCCGGCCGCTCCACTTTACTTGAAGTATTTTGCTCCCTCCGCAGCAGAAATGACGATGTTTCTGGCAAATAATGTTTTACTTACGTTTAGGTACTGAAATACTGAATACATGGGAGCCATCCTCCTACTCTCCTCCATTATTCCCCCTCTTCTTCCTCATCCCCTTCCCCTCTTGTTCGTCCCTCTTCGAAAAATATGAATAAGAAACAATTCTTCACAGGAAACATCGTCATTTCTGCTGCGGAGGGAGCAAAATACTTCAAGTAAAGTGGAGCGGCCGGGGGGGGGGATAATACGGGGGTAAGGGGGGCCCTGTGAGGGAGAAGTAAGTTGGGTCAAAGTTTATCAATCGTAAAGAAAGAAAAATAATCCTCCACATATGACCCCGTCATATCTGCCTTACAGGAAGAAGCACTTGAGAGGAAGTGTTTGGATTGCGGGGGAGGGGTTAAAAAGGGGAAAGGAGGGGGAGGACATTAAAATTAGTAAAATGTAAAGAAGAAGAAAAATCCCCAACAGAAAATACCATCGTGACCGCGGCGTGGAGAGAAGAGAACAAAGTAAAGTCAGTAAGATGCGCTAACGGTCATGATAGTATGAATAAAGCCCCCCTCCCCGCCCCCCAAAAAACCAATTGGGGTATCGTGAAAGATGTGGAAAAATACTACAGGAATAGCTGAACAAATCACCGCAAACCGCGCTTCGATATCTAGATCTGGTACCTCGTGACAGCCGGAGTTCGACATTAAAACACCTGCAAAAATGGGTGAAAATCGGGGACTTTGCCCCCCCATAACTCGAAAACGGTGCGTATACTCAATCTGAAATTTTAGTATGTGTAAAGGGTCACCCTAAGGATGAAAAAAAACCTCACTTCGACCCCAATTTCGAGGGCCCAAAAATGGGCCACTTTGTGCATGGCTCTTTACAAAGGTAATTTTTGTCTTGAATACATAGTTTATTGGGATTAAAGAAGAAACTTGTCCAGATGATTGGTATATAGATTTGCACGGTAAACAAGTTGCACAATTTTTGCAACATTGGAATGCTCTTGGTTCCTTTTTGCATAATACAATCCATTTAAAGGGCTTGGAGGACAGAGCTTTAGTGTCAGCATAAGCATTAGTGGGGCGCATTAGTTCAGTTTTTGCTTTCCCGAGAAAACCTGATGTCTAAAGTCTCGAAATTAAATGGATCCTTATGGCGGAAAGAAAGTTCATACTGACTTTTTGATGCTTAAAAATTGGAATTTAGGAGCGGATTTTTCTCAGAATATGTATGAAGACTAGCTTTAATTGAAATAATTATTATTATGATGTCAATTTTTTGAAAAACTGCACTTATGTGCGCCTTGTCTTTCAAGCCCCTTATATGTGATAGAGTCGGGTAAAAAGGCCCTTAAGATTAAAACTTGCTCAAGCTCAGTAACTGCGGTGAGAATCCTGATTTGGAGTGTAAAAGATCCATTTCAGTTTTCGATGAAAAAAGGTCTTAAATATTCTGAAAAAATATCAGACAAACATTTCTAGTAATGATTTGCATCATTGATGATGGTAGATTGCGTTTGATATGAATAGCATCCAAAGTTTGCAACATTGCAGGCAAGTCATGTACTTGCTTTTCTCAAATTTACAATTTACCTCGCTCTCACTAACTTTGCCTCCTTCTGAACGGATCAATATTTTGGAATTTTTTGTTATTTTAAGCACCAAATGAGTAAATAATTTTGTTTACTTAATTCTCAGAAACGTTTTTTTTTTGTGTTTTTGGTTGTTTTTTGTATGATGTTATCGTATGATGTATTCATACTGTTTGTATGATACGGTAATAATTTAATCACAGAATTTCCTCGTTGGAAAGAGTGGATACCTCAACTGTTAAAATTGTTAGCAAAAATAATTTTTAAACTGCTGTTAAATGTATTGGTAGTTAAACGGTGACAACGTCTATCTAGCTTTGCAAAGTCGTTAACTTTTTGTTATATTTCATTTTTAAGTCGGGAAAATCATCAATCTGAAATTTTGAAACCCTCCTTGATTTCTCTGAAAAAAATTCTAAAGTATCAAAAAAATGAGTTGGCCACTGCAGGATCTTAATATTTCAAGTCCAGAAAGTGCCGCGCTGAATCAACCCGGAAAACGAAATCTTAAGCGCTTGTTCTAACCAAAAATTTCAATGCGTTAAATCGTGCAGGTGCTTCATGAGACCCCTGAAATCGCACTAGTTCGCACCAAAGTTACAAATGCGGGCTTCAAATGTACAATTTCGACTTAGAGCGCCTTCAATCTTTCGTGATACTCTACGCATTGCCACGCAGTTAGTTTAGATACCTATTCAACTCAAACGTAACCGTGGACACTGATCCATCGACGGAGGAACTCCCAAGGCTATGTATCTCAGTTTTCTACGTTGCAGATTTCCCATCACACTTTATTTTTCTAAACGAAAAATTAGTCAACGTCAATTCTTAAAAAGCTTTTGTGATTGTTTTTCTCCGAGCGTAAAAAATTCCGTGATTTACAGAAATGCTGTCGATTTATTTTCTTTTAAAAAATAAAATGGGAGTGGACATTTTGAAACGCTGCAAACGAGATACACGCGGTTTGGGCAGGGTGGCAAAATTTCTTGAAAAATCAAATTTTCACGTGAAATAATTCATGAAATTTCAGAAATTTATGAGAGATATTGAAACATACTGGTCCCTTTTCATGTTTCGCGAAATGTAAAAATTAAGAAGTTCTTCTACTTATGTGTGTTTGAGTGCGGATTGCATTCATCTCTAGGCGCTGAAAAATATGAAATATTTCATAGTCTCGCGAAATTTCATGAGATATCTAGCTGAAATTTCCAATCTTCCATTTCTTTCTTATTACGCTTCATGCCACTCTGGGTTTGGGAGTTTCACTGCTGATAAGTACCATTCGATTCAAAGTGCAGAGAGGATGCGCTAACTTAAGTGGTTAAGCGTTTTTTCTCTGACTTTATCAAGAACTTGTCATCCTGAATAAGTTATTATCGCTGAAACTTTCTGTTCAATTTCAGGATTGACGATGGCTTCTTTAGTCTACGTTATAAGCCACAGTCACAACAGTTGCAAGATATTGCCGATACGTGCATCAAAGTTGGCGATTGCTCGGCAGCGAAAGATTCTAAGTACAGAACGTACGACGAGACTTGCAATAATCTCAGATTTCCCATGTGGGGCGTCACCAATTCCGCATTAGTCAGGTTGCTTCAACCAAAATACTCGGACGGTAAGATCAATTCGTCCATTTCTACTGTGCTGACAGGAAATGCCTGACTAACGTTCTAATTTTGCTAAATTCAAGATATCAAGATAAGATATTATATCAAGATAACATGATGAGCCACGAATTTTCCGGAAAACTCAAACAAATTTTTCGTCTTATTCGAACGCAGCTAAAAACTTCAAGGAAAAATATCCATTTTGTAAATACTCACAGAGTATGTGTGTTATTTCTAATGACGTTAAACATAAAAGTTCATACACGCCCTCGTAGTAACGTTAGGGATCGATTACAATCAAATTCAAAAAGAGGAACCCCTTCAATTAGTAGGTATGCAACAGACTCGACACTCTCGATGTGGTAACCATAACATAAGATCACCATGTAATCGTAACCTGCAAGTCGATTGTTGAATCGTTATCGAATAATCCTGATCGATAAATCCCTATCTTAGCAATGCTTTTTATCGATCATGGTTATTCGATATCGATTCAATAATCGATCCTGATCGATAGATCACTATCTTAGCAAAGCTTTTTATCGATCATGGTTATTCGATATCGATTCAACAATCGATCCTGATCGATAGATCCCTATCTTAGCAATGCTTTTTATCGATCATGGTTATTCGATATCGATTCGACAATCGAGCCGCTGTGCTATTTGAGCCCCTCTTTCATACCTGCATACATGTATGCCTTTTTTGAACTTTGAACAATGTCTAATGAGTGGGCCCTGATATTTTGCAGGAGTTTCGAAACACAGAAAAGCGCAGGACGGCTCAGATTTGCCGAACGCGAGACTAGTGCGAACAACAGTCCTCAAGGATAAAATGGTCAAGAATAAGAAAGTTTCGTACCTGTTTTCAGTTTTCGCTCAGTATATCTCCCATGACACGGCCAGGACCAGCCAAGCAGCCGCCAGTAAGTGCCAAAGGCATTTCTGATTATACGCTATAAGCTAGAGAAGAGCAGCCTCTTTCAAGAATGCACTGGAAAAAAAACCACGTTGGATCTAGAGTCCAGACTCTTAAAAACATCGACAAGAAAAAGTACTCTTGATTTAATCAGAATCTAACTTGAATCAAGAACCAAGTCTCTTAATTTAAGCGGATTTCGTTTTGATTCAAGCAAAAATCTGATTGAATCAAGAGTATTTTTTCATGTCAATGTTTTCAAGAGTCTGGACTCTAGATCCAATGTGCTTTTCTTTCCAGTGTGGGAGTGAATAATATGAGACCCTCCATGGAGAGGGGCACCGCTGTCCACACACATTCAAATTAAGTCTCCTATAGAAAAAAGGAGTATTCTAAAAATATTTTGGAATAAATGTAATGCCCAAAAATATGAAACCTACCCCAAGTTTAGGTGGGTTGAAATTTTCAGTTTATTTAATCGTGGCCCCGAGAAAAAGGCGTTGCGTGCTTTGCGATATTTCGATTGATCTGACATTTAAACCTATGGAAAAGGATCGATAAACAGGGTGTTTGCAACGACCGCTTTAATAATCAATTCTTTACCATAGCTTCAAATGGAGAAGTATCGACAATCGATCATTCACGCCACGCCACTGATTGGGAGAGACGAGACAACGTTGGAATGCTTTTACGGCGCGGCGTCAAGACACAACATGGGCCCTTCAAGCCCCATTATTCGATGTCGCAATATTCTAACGCGAGTTCGAATGATCGCACCAAACACAGTGCGACCGACGTTAAACGCATAATAGCGCCTGCAAGACAGGAGGAATACTTCACGCATCGCGCCAAACAGTTCAGTCGGTCTGGAACCTATATTAGCTCCTACAAGACTGCATGAATACTTCTCGCATTGCGCAAAACGCCATGCAGTCGGTCAGTTGGCATGGAACGGTTATTAGCGCCCACAAGATTGTGGACCACTGGTAAAATCGTGTCTATGTTTAGGTTCTCACTCATGCCAAAATAAAGTGCTCAAAATTTTGTTTTTTAGATTTCACATCGTGCTGCAATGGAGATAAATGGCCAGGCCAAGTGCCCGTCAACTGCACTTCGACGCGGATCCCTGATAATGACCCATTCTACAAAAAATTTGGCGTCACTTGCCAAGGTCGAATCAGATCCTTGACTACCGATGATTTTGGTTGCCCGTTGAGGCCTCATCAACATGTAAGTATTATCTAACGGAACGATGACCTTTTCCTCTAAAAATTCGTCGTTCCTCGAATGAACGGAAGTAACCCGAAACTGAAAAAAATAGTTTTTTTTTTGCAAATTCGCAAAACTGATTTGAACAATCGAATTTTCTGCAAGAATGTACTTTTGAAATATTTGCCCAAAATTTTGCTGATTTTTGCACGAAATCAGGAGAAATATCAGTGAAGTTTTCAGTCAGAAATACCCCAGAATCTCCCGGCAAAAATGAAATTTGCGAGGAAGAATTTGGAAACATCTAAATTTAGTTACGTTCTTTCGTAGGGAAACGGACTTGGGCAAATCTAACACCCGGACTTTATGGATGTATGCATTTTTTTTGAATTTCAAAGATTATCTAATATGTGCAAATTAAAAATGTCTAGGCTTTTAAAAACTACAACCGTGGTACAGGTAGGTGGGCTTATGGCTGTGCCGCTTCCTCCCCAAATCGGTGTGAATTGACGCGCTGGCCAGTAGATTGGCTTGATCATTCTTGATTCAAAATCTTTTAACTTTATTACATATTGGGAAACAGAACAAGTGAAAGAGCATGCGTCACACGGCGCAGAGATACAACTATTCGTACTTGATAGATGTCCGTGTCGCATCTGCAAAATTGAAGGCGCGATGGTGTGAGGCGTGAACTCGCAATGCACCGCTCTATGCTCCAAATGAGATGTCGCTCTGATTCAGGAGAAAAGTTAATAAAAAAAGAGGTTCGATTACATCGATCTCTCCTATCTTTGGATGGGTTGCTCACGTAGCCCTTGAAGCACCACGACAGATAAGAGAAACAAAAACAAGCACCATTTGGAAAAAATAGAGCATGGGAAAATGACGTGCGTTGATGAAGGCGCAAAGATACAACTAATCGTGTTTGGTTGTAGTGGATGTTGCATCTGCAAAATTGAAGGTGCGATGACGCGAGGCATGAATTCGCAGTACTCCCCTCTATAGTGCTAGTGAAATGTTCCCTGGGGCTACAAATGGTAGCTCACTTCAATGATTATATTTTATTTAAAAAAATGTTCCAGGTCATTCCAGTGACTCATTTCATCGACCAGTCCTTAATATACGGCCAAAACAAGCAGGATATGGAAAAATTTAAGGGGAAAAACGGACTACTACAAGTTTCAGAAATTGACAAAAGAATATTCCCAAAATCCAATGCTAATCCTCAAGCAGTTTGCGATATTCGACAGGGAGACAGGGGAATCTGCTTTGACGCCGGTAAAGTTGTAAAAATGCAAGTATTAAAAGCTAAATTTAGCCTCTTATCCAAAACCATCGGTAGCTCATTTAGTAGAACAAAAGTTGGCAATTAAAATGGTGCGAAGCAAATGAAAGGCGTGTCCAGTCGGCAGTAGCATAACAAGGGGATGGGGGTCCGAGGTCTCTGAAATTACCAGAAAATTAAAAAAAAAAAAATATCTCATTTTCCGTAGTTATCAGGAATTTTTTACTTTCGGACCCCCTCCCTAAATTTTTTTCCCTCGGACTTCCCTCCCCCTGAAACATTTTTTCTAGGCGACTATACGGATCAGTAAAGGCAAATTTTTCTTTGAAATTAACCGGATGGAAACAGCGAATTTGAAAAGCACATGTTCAAGAAATCCACGATGGAACATTACCAAAAAACAAATGGCTCCAGATTCGGTATACATTTTTGTAAATGCCAAATTTTCGCGGTCATTCTAATTTTTTTGGGGCGGGGTGGGGGAGGGGGGCGGGAGTGTCTCTGAAAGCTTTCTCGAGAGACTTTTAGAAATTATTACCTCACTCACTTCAGAAAAAAAAACTTAGTACAACGATATATTTCCAAAGAAATACGGGCTATAAATTGTTCATACGAAATGAATCTGGAAACTTCACCGAAAAAAAAGATGCTGTAGTGACATCCTGGATGTTAAACAAATGTGCGACAACTCTTGGGTGTTGCTATCAACACTCTGACAGTTAACGTAGCATGATAGGATGTAAAAGTAACATCCTAGGATCAGGGGTATTAGGGGGCGGCCACATGGGCCGCGGCCCATGGCGGCAAATCTAGAGGGCGGCAAATTTTGCAATTTTTTTAAATGTAAGTATAAACAAGCAGTGAACTCCAACACAATGTGTTGATAAGGCGCGTCATTAACTCGCACATATCAACCCCTTTAGTTTTCATTTACAGAGATTTCAAAATAGGCAAACAGCATAAAAAGAGAATTCACGATCCAACACTGCGAGGTCAAAGACGCACCTTGACGAGACCGTGTATTGTGAAAGTAGAAAGCTATTCGATCGAATTTAAGTTTTTTGATCTGCCTCAAGCAAAATCTTATCAGATTCTTGAAGAAAAGTGCTACGGAATAATTTAAGCGAAGAAAGGAAAAATTCTGTCGAACTCCTAGAAGATAAAGTCGATTTAAAGGTATTTTGGGGCTAAAATACCCAAATCACCGGTAGTAAAAATCCCGTTATATTATTGAAAAGAAATTGACTCGATATAAATGCAATTGCATTAAATACGTCTTGATTTTGTTATTTTAAACGTCTTTCCATGCAAAGAAGTTCAACCATGTCGTTGCTTTATTCATTCATGAATTGAAAGTAAGCAATCTACATCCCGAAAATCTACTGATTTGCCGTAAAAAATTGCAGAAACTTGATATACCAGGTCGATGCACCCACTCGTTGAATTTACCAACCAATTTTGTGAGTGCA